TGATATATACGATATTTTACCTGTTTTTCTTATATTTTTAATATATTTTAAATAAAAAAATGAATGGTTTTTGGACTTAACATGTTACTTGTAGCATTTTTGTGGGTTTTGAAGTCGATACAAGGATTTTGAGCATTTTGGGCCTAAAAAAGTGAAATCAAGCCTTTTTGAGGATGGACAAATCATGACCACCAGATGTTTCGCTCCAGATGAAGCAATTCCCACCGTCAGATCAAGCTCATATTCTACCTTGAGATAGAGGAGGATAGCAGCTTCAAAATGAATATTTAATCGCCACAATCTCACAGTTAGATCTTGAGATATCATCAATCTACTGAAATTTGTTCGAATAAGGATCAAGCTAAAGGCGGTTCAAAGATATTCACCAGTGATCGACTGGACCCATGGAGTGATCGATCGGACGCGAAGCCCCTGGTCTTGACGCAGAAGCGAGTTAACAAGGTGACCGACTGAACACTTGAGGTGATCAATCGATCACCTCATCCAAGGAAATTGGGAAATTTTCCTTTTTCAACATTATCTCCTAATTTTCAAGGATTTTACCCTAAAAACTGACGTATCCCCTATATAAAGACAGGAGTAGCCACGACATTGATCATCATGCTCTCCACCATCATCACCTTCAAAGCTCTAAGTTCTTCACAAGTTTTTAAGGCATTCATCTTCTGCTTATTTGGATATTGGGAGAAGGATTCTCAATAAGGTATGATTAAGATTTTGTTACCATTTGATTTCTTTTCTCCATTTTAAAAAGAATTTGTTGCTACTATGAAGACCAATTGAAGCTTGATGGAAATATAAAGTCCACGGACTTGCACTCAACTCATCTCCATRTCTAATTGAGAAGTATTTTTTCGATGTGGAAAGCAAATATATAGTAGCAAGCAATTTTGATATCTATATTGGAAAAATAAAAAATAATTAAGAATTCATGATCTTAATTTAAGATTCAAATTTGAATTATCTCTATAAACATAAAAGTTTTACCTTTTTGAAACATCTCGGAATCTCTCCACCAAGTACGAAACTTACCTTTAAGGATGCCACTATTTTTTCGAATGAAACATCACTGAAAACATAATGAGTATTGCTATAAAATAATGTCAGTTATATAGAAAATATGTGTATACGATGTAAGCTATGAATTAAAGAATGTAAAGGATTAAAGAACAACAAAACAACTTGAATGACACAGACAAACCTGTTTCTATCGAACATCGTCATTTTCAACATACACGTGTTGTAAAGTATCGTTACATATTCCATTGCAAACACATTATCACCATCTCCAGAATGTGGCGAAATAGACTTTTGACAAATTGAGAACGTTTGACTTGGAAAAATAGTTTACTCACTTGGATCTCAAAATCTAAGAGAAGAATGATTGGTTCTCTCACACTATTGTGCTCTATCTTTTTAAGCTTGATTGTCGCATCAGAGATCAACCTCCAGATATTACGTGTTCCATGTGCATCCTTCGGATTATGACTTCCTATACAGCAACCGTTTTTTAACATAGTTGTTGTTCATTCTTTTTCTTCAAGCTTCGCCATCTCACCTCCAATAATAATCTGAAGAAACATATCATTTATTTCCATATCGCATTGGGTTTTTAAGTCATTTCGTATCTCTTTTCGTACACTATCTACGACTTCACATATAGACCAATCTCCCAAAACCAAATGTCTCATGCAACCAAACCATGAATCTAAATAATTCCAAAAACAAGTTAAAATGATGTAACATGTTATAACAGACTAATTTGTAAATAATACCAAGAATATTTGGTTTTAAAAACATTAGTAATGATCAATACACAAGAATTAAAAAACATAATAAGTATGTATTTAGTCTACGTGGCTTGTGAATGTGAGAAATACATATTAACAAAAATACAAGACGTGCCTCGAAATCATACCTTCTGAAATCAGTAAGATGTCTACTACAAAGTTGTCTTTTGACTTTGATTTCCTCTTCACACTACAAGAAAACATGGTTTTAGCGTCGGCAAAATTCGACGCTAAAGGTTTTTAGCATCGAATTAACATCAAATTACATTTCGACGCTAAATCGTCGACGCTAAATCTTTTTCGACGCTAATTTTGCGTCGTACTGAATTTCGACGCTAATTCGATGCTAAATTAGCATCGAATTAGCGTCTATGCATATCCGATACAAAGATTCGACGCTACTTTAGCGTCGAATTAGCATCGACATAGTTTCGATGCAACGTTTCGCCGCTTTCGATGCTAAATTAGCGTCGAATTAGCGGCGGAATTTATCGTAAGTCGACGCTAATTCGACGCTAATTAGCATCACTATTGCATCGATTTAGCGTCGGTATAATTGAATTTACTTAAAAATAAATAAATATTATTAAAAAAAATATTCTAAAATATTATGAAAATTAAAAATATTTTAAAAGAAATACAAACGCAAATTTAAATTATCCGATACAAATGAAATAAAAACGCTAATCTACTGATTTTGGATCCTTAAGTTGATGGTATCTTCTCGAATCATCTCTTCGGATTCTTCCTCGAACTGCGTTGGACCGGT